TATTTAAATAGTAAGAATTAAATTGGTGACGAAGGTGCATCAGGTATAGGTTCTGGTCTAGCAAAATGCATTAATCTCTAAAATTTAACACTTGAACTTAGGTAAAAAACAGTTTTATTATTTTGGATTGTGATATTTTAAACTATAAAAATGAAAAAAAAATAAAAAAGCTCTTTGAATTTATTTGATATCTTTTATTTGATTTTTTTTTTTATTATTCTGCTAAAAGTATTTTATTTATTAATTTAAAGAATAATTATTAATTTAAAAGTTTATTCTATTTTGATATTTATTTAAAATTTACACAAATTTATTTATTTTAAAACTTTTAGCTTAATGAATTAATCATAAAAATTCAAAGTAATAAGCAAGTGTCTTAAATCAAAAAGATTAGTTATCTTTAAAAAAGAATTCTGATGATAAACAAGTGGCAAAAAAAGGATGAATAAATATAAAATGTTTGAATAATTGAATATTATATATTTTATTTTTTAATATTTAGAAAAAGTTTATTTAACCTAAAATATAAATAGAGAGATAGATTTTATTACAGATTTTATATTTATAAATATCATTCATATTTTTGTAAATAAAATGTGTAAAAATGAAAAAATGGTGAACTATATTTTTGAGTTCGCATTGCCAATATCCTTTATATCACTTACTTCCCAAAATTTTGATGTAAAAAAATAATTTATTTATGATATTATAATAAATTAAATTATTAATTACTATTCTATTATTTAATATAAAAATCAGATTTTTTAATAAATAAATAAAAATCTATTTCATAATAAGCGGCATGCAAGCCACGAAATTTATGTATAGCATCTTGCTATAATTAGAGATATTATAAATATTCATAAAATTACAGAGCTAGAAAAGAAAAATCTACTTATTAACATTATTTATATAATATTTAAGGACATTAACTACTAGAATTTTTTCAAATATGACTAAATAAATAACTGGTCATCTCTAATTCCTACTATATTTTTAATTATATGTTTTAAATACAAATATTATGTTTAAGTAATGAATATTATATTAATTTTTCTGCGATATCTCTTCATAAAACTAAATATATAAATTAATATTTGATAATTAATTAATCGTTGAATTTATTTGTTATTTTTATTCTTTTATAATTAATTAAATTCCATAAATTGCTATTCAATATTTTTGAAAAAAAAAATAAATGATATAATAGAATAACAAGTATTACAGATTAGAAGAAGTAATTATTAATTTTTTTATTAATATCCTTTATATTTATATTAATTAATAAAAAAAGTTTTTAAGCTCTTCACTTTTATCTCATTAGGTTCTCCATATTAATCTGAAGTATATTTAATTAAAAAATATTATTTTTATAATTATTAATATTTTTTGAATATTTAATTTACAATTTGTTTAAATAAATTATTTTTATAATAGAAATTATCTTCTTATTTATTGATATTTTTTATTAAAACAAAAATATTTTTGCTATTTTAACTTAATTTTCATTTCTATTTTCAATTTTTAATTAATTATTTATTATTCATTTTTTATTATTTGATATTTTTTCTTAATTTTTTGCTATTAAAACTTACACTTAATAAAAGCAGCTTATTTGTTTTTGATTGTAATATTTTTAATTATAAAAGTTAATTTAAAACATTAAAGCTCTTTTAATTTATTTGATTTATTTTCCTTTTCTTTTTATTATGATTTCTTATTTTTTCATTCTTAGTTAATTTTATTAATTATTAATCATTCTTATTATTTCATATTTTTTCTTCATTTTTCCTCCTAATTATTTAGAGTGAAATGCCTATTTAATTTATCAAAGGCTAAATGTAATATATCTTAATAGCATAATAAATAAAGCTAAATTAGCTTAAAACAGCTTTATTTTTGAGTTTATATAAAAACGGTATTTAAAACTCGCTTTTTGTAAACTTGTATGGCAATTACTCTATTTAATGATATATTTTTTCTTCAATATTTAAAAAGTTACAAATAATTTGGTGATGAAGGTGCATCAGGCTTAGGTTCTGGTTTAGAAAATAGCATTAATCTCTCAAATTTGACACTTGGCCTTTTGTAAAAACAGTTTATTTGTTTTGGATTGTGATATTTTTAATTTTAAAAACTAATTAAAAACAATCAAGCTCTTTTTTCTTTTTCTTTTTATTATGCTTGCTTTTTTTTTGTTCTTTCTTTGTTAATTTAACTCATTCATCATTTATTTTAAACTTTTGCTTTTGTTATTAATTAATCTATCTTATTATCTCATATTTTTTCTTCATTTTTTCCTTCTAATTAACTAATTAATGATAAATTTTTTGTTCAATACTTAAAAAGTTAAAAATAAATTGGTGATGAAGGTGCATCAGGCTTAGGTTCTGCTTTAGCAAATTGCATTAATCTCTCAAATTTGACACTTGGCCTTTAGTAAAAACAGATTATTTGTTTTGGATTGTGATATTTTTAATTATAAAAACTAATTAAAAACAATAAAGCTCTTTTTTCTTTTTCTTTTTATTATGCTTGCTTTTTTTTTGTTCTTTCTTTGTTAATTTAACTCATTCATCATTTTATTTTAAACTTTTGCTTTTGTTATTAATTTATCTATCTTATTATCTCATATTTTTTCTTCATTTTTTCTTTCTAATTAACTATTTAATGATATATTTTTTGTTCAATATTTAAAAAGTAAGAATTAAATTGGCGCAATTGGTGCATTAAGCTTAGGTTCAGGTTTAGCAAAATGCATTAATCTCTCAAATTTGACACTTGAACTTGGGTAAAAACAGTTTATTTGTTTAGGATTGTGATATTTTTAATTATAAAAACTAATAAAGCTCTTTTTTCATTTTGTTTTTATTGTATTTGCTTTTTTTTTTGTTCTTTCCTTGTTAGTTTAACTCATACATCATTTTATTTTGAACTTTTGCTTTTATTATTAATTAATCTATCATATTATTTCATATTTTTTCTTCATTTTTTCCTTTTAATTAACTATTTAATGATAAATTTTTTCATAAATATTTAAAAAGTGAAAATTAAATTGGTGAAGAAGGCGCATCAGGCTTAGGTTCTGCTTTAACTAAGTGCACTAATCTCTCTAATTTGGCACTTCACATAGGGTAAAAACTGTTTATTTGTTTTGGATTGTGATTTTTTAAATTATAAAAGCTAATTAAAAACAATAAAGCTCTTTTTTCTTTTTCTTTTTATTGTCCTTGTTTTTTTTTGTTTTTTCTTTGTTAATTTAACTCATATATCATTTTATTTTAAACTTTTGCTTTTATTATTAATTAATGTATCTTATTATTTCATATTTTTTCTTCATTTTTTCCTTCAAATTAACTATTTAATGATATATTTTTTCATAAATATTTAAAAAGTGAAAATTAAATTGGTGAAGAAGGTGCATCAGACTTAGGTTCTGCTTTAGCTAAGTGCACTAATCTCTCTAATTTGGCACTTTACCTAGGGTAAAAACAGTTTATTTGTTTTGGATTGTGATATTTTAAATTATAAAAGCTAATTAAAAACAATAAAGCTCTTTTTTCTATTTCTTTTTATTGTGCTTGCTTTTTTTTTGTTATTTCTTTGTTAATTTAACTCATTTATCATTTTATTTTAAACTTTTGCTTTTATTATTAATTAATCTATCACATTTTTTCTTCATTTTTTCCTTCTAATTAACTATTTAATGATATATTTTTTTCTTCAATATTTAAAAAGTAAGAATTAAATTGGTGCAATGGGTGCATCAGGCTTAGGTTCTGCATTAGCAAATTGCATTAATCTCTCAAATTTGACACTTAACCTTTTGTAAAAACAGTTTATTTGTTTAGGATTGTGATATTTTTAATTATAAACAATATAGCTCTTTTTTATTTTGCTTTTTATTGTGCTTGCTATTTTTTTTTGTTCTTTCTTTGTTAATTTAACTCATTCATCATTTTATTTTGAACTTTTGCTTTTATTATTAATTAATCTATCTTATTATTTCATATTTTTTCTTAATTTTTTCCTTCTAATTAACTATTTAATTATAAATTTTTTCTTCAATATTTAAAAAGTGGAAATTAAATTGGTGACGAAGGTGCATCAAGTTTAGGTTGGGCTTTAGCTAAGTGCACTAATCTCTCTAATTTGACACTTTACCTACAGTAAAAACAGTTTATTTGTTTTGGATTGTGATATTTTTAATTATAAAAGCTAATTAAAAACAATAAAGCTCTTTTTTCTTTTTCTTTTTATTGTGTTTGCTTTTTTTTTGTTCTTTCTTTGTTAATTTAACTCATTCATCATTTTATTTTGAACTTTTGCTTTTATTATTAATTAAACTATCTTATTATTTCATATTTTTTCTTTCTAATTAACTATTTAATGATATATTTTTTGATCAATATTTAAAAAGTGATAATTAAATTTATGACGAAGGTGCATCAGGCTTTAGTTCTGCTTTAGCTAAGTGCACTAATCTCTCTAATTTGGCACTTTACCTAGGGTAAAAACAGTTTATTTGTTTTGGATTGTGATATTTTTAATTATAAAAACTAATTAAAAACAATAAAGCTTATTTTTCTTTTTCTTTTTATTGTGCTTGCTTTTTTTTGTTCTTTCTTTGTTTATTTAGTTCATAATTTTATTTTGAACTTTTACTATTATTATTAATTAAAATATCTTATTATTTCATATTTTTTCTTCATTTTTTCCTTCTAATTAACTATTTAATAATATATTTTTTCATAAATATGTAAAAAGTGAAAATTAAATTGGTGAAGAAGGTGCATCAGGCTTAGGTTCTGCTTTAGCTAAGTGCACTAATCTTTCTAATTTGACACTTTAACTAGGGTAAAAATAGTTTATTTGTTTTAGATTGTGATATTTTAAATTATAAAAGTTAATTAAAAACAATAAATCTCTTTTTTCTTTTTCTTTTTATTGTGCTTGCTTTTTTTTTGTTTTTTTTTTTGTTAATTTAACTCATTCATAACTTTGTTTTCAACTTTTGCTTTTATTATTAATTAATCTATCTTAATATTTCATATTTTTTCTCCATTTTTTCCTTCTAATTAACTGTTTAATGATTTTTTTTTTGTTCAATATTTAAAAAGTAAAAATTAAATTGGTGACGAAGGAGCATCAGATTTAGGTTCTGATCTAGCAAAGTGTATTAATCTCTCAAATTTGACACTTGAACTTGAGTAAAAACAGTTTATTTGTTTTGGATTGTGATATTTTTAATTAAAAATGCTAATTAAAAACGATAAAGCTCATTTTTCTTTTTATTGTCCTTGCTTTTTTTGTTCTTTCTTTGTTAATTTAACTCATTCATCATTTTATTTTGAAATCTTTCTTATATTATTAATTAAACTATCTTAATATTTCATATTTTTTCTCAATTTTTTCTTTCTAATTGACTATTTAATGATATATTTTTTATTCAATATTTAAAAAGTGAAAATTAATTTGGTGACGAAGGTGCATCAGGTTTAGGTTCTGGTTTAGCAAAATGCATTAATCTCTCAAATTTGACACTTTATCTTAAGTAAAAACAGTTTTTTTATTTTGGATTATGATATTTTAAATTATAAAAACTAATTAAAAACAATATAGCTCTTTTTTATTTTGCCTTTTATTGTGCTTGCTATTTTTTTGTTCTTTCTTTGTTGATTTAACTCATTCATCATTTTTTTTTAAACTTTTGCTTTTATTATTTATTAATCTATCTCATATTTTTTCTTCATTTTTACCTTCTAATTTACTATTTAATGATATATTTTTTGTTCAATATTTAAAAAGTGGAAATTAAATTTGTGCAATGGGGGCATCAGGCTTAGGTTCAGGTTTAGCAAAATGCATTAATCTCTCAAATTTGACACTTTACCTTGGGTAAAAACAGTTTATTTGTTTTGGATTGTGATATTTTTAATTATAAAAACTAATTAATAACAATAAAGCTCTTTTTTCTTTTTCTTTTTATTGTGCTTGCTTTTTTTTTGTTCTTTCATTGTTAATTTAAATCATTCATCATTATATTTTGAACTTTTTATTTTATTATTAATTAATCTATCATATTATTTCATATTTTTTCTTAATTTTTTCCTTCTAATTAACTATTTAATTATAAATTTTTTCTTCAATATTTAAAAAGTGAAAATTTAATTGGTGAAGAAAGTGCATCAGGCTTAGGTTCTACTTTAGCTAAGTGCACTAATCTCTCAAATTTGACACTTGATCTTGAGTAAAAACAATTTTTTTGTTTTGGATTGTGATATTTTTAATTATAAAAACTAATTAAAAACAATAAAGCTCTTTTTATTTTGCTTTTTATTGTGCTTGCTTTTTTTTTGTTTTTTCTTTGTTAATTTAACTCATTCATCACTTTATTTTCAACTTTTGCTTTTATTATTAATTAATCTATCTTAATATTTCATATTTTCTCTTCATTTTTTCCTTTTAATTAACTATTTAATGAAAAATTTTTGTTCAATATTTAAAAAGTGGTAATTAAATTGATGACAAAGGTGCATCAGACTTAGGTTCTGGATTAGAAAATTGCATTAATCTTTCAAATTTGGCACTTTGCCTTAAGTAAAAACAGTTTATTTGTTTTGGATTGTGATATTTTTAATTATAAAAACTAATTAAAAACAATAAAGCTCATTTTTCTTTTTATTGTGCTTGCTTTTTTCTGTTCTTTCTTTGTTAATTTAACTCATTCATCATTTTATTTTAAACTTTTACTGTTATTATTAATTAAATTATCTTATTATTTAATATTTTTTCTCCATTTTTTCCTTCTAATTAACTATTTAATGATATATTTTTTCTTCAATATTTAAAAAGTGAAAATTAAATTGGTGCAATGGGGGCATCAGGCTTATGTTCTGGCTTAGCAAAATGCATTAATCTCTCAAATTTGTAACTTGAACTTGAGTAAAAACAGTTTTTTTGTTTAGGATTGTGATATTTTAGATTATAAAAACAAATTAAAAACAATAAAGCTCTTTTTTCATTTTGTTTTTATTGTATTTGCTTTTTTTTTTGTTCTTTCCTTGTTAATTTAACTCATTCATCATTTAATTTTAAACTTTTGCTTTTATTATCAATAAATCTATCTTATTATTTCATATTTTTTCTTCATTTTTTCCTTCTAATTAACTATTTAATGATATATTTTTTCTTCAATATTTAAAAAGTGGAAATTAAATTGGTGACGAAGGTGCATCAGGTTTAGGTTGTGCTTTAGCTAAGTGCACTAATCTCTCTAATTTGACACTTCACCTAAGGTAAAAACAGTTTATTTGTTTTGGATTGTGATATTTTTAATTATAAAAACTAATTAAAAACAATAAAGCTCTTTTTTCTTTTTCTTTTTATTATGTTTGCTTTTTTTTGTTCTTTCTTTGTTAATTTAGTTCATAATTATATTTTGAACTTTTGCTTTTATTATTAATAAATATATTTTATTATTTCGTATTATTTCTTCATTTTTTCCTTCTAATTAACTATTTAATGATTAATTTTTTGTTCAATATTTAAAAAGTGGAAATTAAATTGATGACGAAGGTGCATCAGGCTTAGGTTTTGCTTTAGCTAAGTGCATTAATCTCTCTAATTTGACACTTTGCCTTGAGTAAAAACAGTTTTTTAGTTTTGGATTGTGATATTTTTAATTATAAAAACTAATTAAAAGCAATAAAGCTCATTTTTCTTTTTCTTTTTATTGTGCTTGCTTTTTTTTTCTTCTTTCTTTGTTAATTTAGCTCATTTATCATTTTATTTTAAACTTTTGCTTTTATTATTAATTAATCTATCTTATTATTTCATATTTTTTCTCCATTTTTTCTTTCTAATTAACTATTTAATGATACATTTTTTCTTCAATATTTAAAAAGTGAAAATTAAATTGGTGCAATCGGTGCATCAGGTTTAGGTTCTGGTTTAGCAAAATGCATTAATCTCTCAAATTTGACACTTTAACTTGAGTAAAAACAGTTTATTTGTTTAGGATTGTGATATTTTTAATTATAAAAACTAATTAAAAACAATATAGCTCGTTTTTCTTTTTATTGTGTTTGCTATTTTTTTTTGTTCTTTCTTTTTTAATTTACTCATTCATCATTTTATTTTCAACTTTTAGTTTTATTATTTATTAAAATATCTTATTATTTCATCTTTTTTCTTCATTTTTTCCTTCAAATTAACTATCTAATGATATATTTTTTCTTGAATATTTAAAAAGTTAGAATTAAATTGGTGATGAAGATGCATCAGGTTTAGGTTCTGGTTTAGCAAAATGCATTAATCTCTAAAATTTGACACTTTTACTTGAGTAAAAACAGTTTTATTATTTTGGATTGTAATATTTTAAACTATAAAAGTGAAAAAAAAATAAAAAAGCTCTTTGAATTTATTTGATATCTTTTATTTGATTTTTTTTTATTATTCCGCGAATACTATTTTATTTTCTATTTTAAAGAATAATTATTAATTTAAAAGTTTATTCTATTTTGAAATTTATTTTAAATTTACACAAATTTATTATAAAACTTTTAGCTTAATGAATGATTCATAATAATTCAAAATGAAAAGCAAGTGTCTTAAATCAAAAAGATTAGTAGTCTTTTAAAAAAATTTCTGGTGATAAACAAGCGGCAAAAAAACGATGAATAAATATAAAATGTTTGAATAATTGAATATTATATATTTTATTATTTAATATTTAGAAAAAGTTTATTTAACCTAAAAAATAGATAGATAGATTTTATTATTGATTTTATATTTATAAATATTATTCATATTTTTGTAAGTAGATAAATTATTTTTTAAAAATAAAAATATTTAAAAATTAAATTTACTAAAATAAATTAAATCTTCTTAATCAAACCCTCCGGTTTCTCTAAAAAGGATAAAATAATTTGATAGTTTTAAAAAATGTTAGAAACAATATATAAAACATCGTATATTAACTCACTAAAATTGGTGCTACCCCCCTCTACTCTTGATTTTTTTATTTACCATTACAATTATTTTTTGTTTTACTTTTATTTTTCAGGAATTTTTGATTTTAAGAAAATTTTTATTTTTTGTGAATTTAAAGCAATTTAAGTGTTTTAATTTGTTAATTAGTTTTTTATTTAATTAATATTTCTTTTTTTAATTGTAATTATTTTTTCTTCTATTTTTCTTAATTGAAATAATTTTACTATTAACATTTGCTTTTATTATTTAATAATTAATCTTATTATTTTATATTTTGTCTTCATTTTTTTATCTAAATCAATAATTAATTAATAAATTATATATTTTTTCTTATTTATTTAAAAAAAATTGGGAATGAAATTGGTGCAATCAGTGCATCAGACTTAGGCTATGCTTTAGCAAATTGCACTAATCTCTCAAATTTGACACTTTACCTTATGTAAAAATAATTTATTTTTTTTAGATTGTGATATTTTTATTTATAAAATTAAATTTAAAACAATATAACTAACTCTTTTTATTTGTTATTAGCTTATTATTTGATTTATTTTCTTTTTCTTTTTTATTCAGCTAATCTTTATTTTATTTTTCAATTTTAAATATAATTTTTAATTAAAATATTTTATTCAATTTAACTTTTTTTAGTATTTTATTTTAATTTAATATAATATAAAAGTAATTGCTAAATCAATGAATCATAATAATTGAAAGTAAAAAGCAAGTATCTTAAATTAAAAAGATTAGTTTTCTGTATAATATATTTCTATTGATGATAAACAGATGGTGAAAAGGGATGAATAAATATTAAATATTTGACAAATTGTAAATAATATATTTTTAATAAGATAATTTTCTCTCTATCTTATTAGAATTTAAATAATTTATTTTGATTAAAAATTAATATTAAGGAAATTAATATTTATATCATTAATTTATAATTAATAAATTAGTATCCTTTAATTAGATAAACTGTTGAAACTGTTTAAATTAAATTTTATATAAATCCTCTAGTTTTTATTTAGTTTAAATAAAGAATTTAATTTTTAAAAATAAAAAAACATTATCATAAAAAAATTAATTTTATTTTTATTTAAATATTTAAAAATAAATCTCAAATTATTTTGATTTGATTTGATTTTTTTAAGAAAAATATTTTAAATTAATTATTTAAAAATTCTATTTTTCTTTTTTAAAAATTATTTTTAATTATTTAATATAATTTATTTATTACATAATTTAATTTTATAATTTTATATTAACTAAAATAAGACAATTTTAAATCAATAAATATATTTTATTATTTAATAATTTTAAAAAAATAATATTTTTTAATATTTTTAATACTTTATTGATATTTTATAAAAAAAATTATTTTATTAATTTTTTCTATTAAATTGATAGACAACAATTTTATAATTTTCTAGAAATAAATGGAAAAGCGTGCTTGAATATTTTTCTTATATCCTAAAATTATTTAATTGATAATTTAAATTGTTTACAAATTTTTTTTTATTTTATTATTTTAAAGATAATATAATTTTTAAAAATAAAAATCTAAAATAAAAATTTACAAAATTTTAATTTAAAAATACATCAGAAAGTGCTTTAAAAACTATTGATTTTTATGCACTAGAAATTTAATGATTTAGATTACTTAAAATGATAGAAAAATATTAATTAAACAAAAAAAACAAATAATGAATAGATAGATCGTAAATGAATGAATATATACTTACTTATCTAAAAGATCCAATTTTTGATTTATTATTAATTAATAGTAAACCAAAGATATTCTGGTAAAAGATATTAAGCGTTTAAAATTGATTTGGTTTGATTCGGTCAATATGTTTTTAATAAATGGTAAATGTTAAAATAATTACAACCTCAAAAATTAAAACCTTCAAAACTAATTATACTTTAGAAATTTAAGTCATTCTCTTTAATATTTTACAAAACTAATAGTAAAAACCTTAACCATAAATATTATTTTAATTTAAGTGTTTAAAAATATAAATTCTATTCTCTTTAGATATTTTTTAAATATTTAATATTGTAACTTCTCTTTGATCCAGAAAAAAAACAAACAAACAAAGAAATTAAAATATAAGGTTTCGCACTTAATATACTTATTTTGAAATTAATTAAAAAAGTTTCATTTTTGGAATAAGATAATAGAAAGAATTCCTATATCTCCTAAAGATTAAATTAATAATATTTATATATAAGTGCACTCATATAAAAGTTATATAATTATTTTAAATAGCGATAAATGTATTGTTTAAAATTTTAAATAAAACTTTATAAAGCTGACTTTTAGTACTTTAATAAGAATTGATTCTAAATGGTTTTTACATTCATTTAATAAATATCTTAAAAGTCTAATTTAATAACATTTGTGGTTGGTATTAATAATTTGATATTTTTAAGTAAAAGAATATTTATACATTTTGATTAATTTTTTTCCACAAATTTGATGTTATTATAATTTGTATTTTTAATAAAAGAAACAGGTAACAATTAATATTTTGATGCTAATATAAAAAGTTAACTGTTACATTTTTTAAAGTGCAATAAAATAGAATAATTTTAACTAAATTTTATTTTAATTATTTTAAAAATATTAATCATATACAAATTATTTTTTTGAATATTACATCATGTTTATTCTATTGGGTATCATTGGTCTTATTCTTTAATAAAGAAATACTAAAAGAATCTTATTGTATTCAAACAGTTATACTATTAATTATTTATTTATTTACATGCAAAAATAAGAAGTATTTTTAAGCTTGAAATTTTTTAAATCCTCTATCTTCTATTTTAAAAAGAATTAAATGTTTATATCATTTCAATGATATGATAGTATTTTTGGGATTAAAGGCATGTTGTCATATAAAATGTCTGAAGTTTATGGCGAATACTCTAATATTTATAAAGCATAATTTAAAATGTTTATGTAAGATTTAACTGTTTTAAACATTATAATAATTAATGACATATTTTGTCCACATTTTTTTATGGGCAAAAGGAAATGTGAAAATAAATAAGCTAGAGTAAATTTTCAATTATTCGATTCCAAGCGTAATTGATTTTTTTACAAATTAATTAATATAAAGTACTCAATTTTCTTATTTGTTATCATTACTAAAATATGTTACAGTTTTAATAATCAACACTTAGCACCGCCAAACAAATGAATGTCTAAAAATATATCATCTGCATTTAAAAATTATTTTAAAAAAGATGTTTATTATTCCACTAATAATCTACATCAAAAGCCAAGTTAAAAATATTTATACTATGAATAAAATAAATGAGTAAATAGTTAAATAAATGATAGGCTAATATTTGGTTTCAAAAACTAGTGGATTCTTTCATTCAAGCAAAAAATATTATTGATTAATAAATTAATTAATAACACATATTTTAGTTATATATTATATATGAAAATGTAACAGTTCAAATATCACTTCCTGCAAATAGAAGCAAACATATTTAAAAGAATTAATTAAATGAAATTGTTTATTTGATAAAAATACGGAAATAGTATGCCTATTAAATTTATAATTCTTCTTAGTTAAATATTCATAAGATTTACTATACATGAAATATATATATAACTTTCTTTTTGATGGTAAGATTGATTAGTTTTAGTCTGTAAGAATTTAAAAAAAGAAAGCAAAATTTATATAATCTTTAGATTGTTTGCTCTGGGGAGTTTGTGGTTTTGATAAGTTTTTCTTGCAACTAATAATAATTAAATTTTAATTATTGTAACAGACTAAAAAGGAACTATTTGTATTTAATTATACATTTGATTTGATTTACCACTATTAATATAATTAAATAAATTAATAAACAAAATCTTATTGAAATATCTTGGGATTGGGAATGAAGATACAAATAATAATTGCTTGTAAATTTAATATATTCACAAATTGAATTACTTACAATAATATTTTTATTTTAAATAGTCTTTTTAGTATATTTAACCACAGCTTAGCAGTTTTAATGCACTAACACACTTAAAAATCCAAAACCTTCAACCGCTTAAGGTATTTAATTATATTTGTTTTTTCAATTTTACAATTAATTATTAAATTTTTTTATAAATTTAGGATACAGGTGCATGATTGCATCAAAAACTGATTTTAAAGATAAATTTATTATGGATTATTGGAAATATTACAATATAGAAACTAACAGTCCTATTACATCATCTAATTAAAGAATGCCTTAATGTTCTAATACAATTTCAGGTTATAATTCGGGAATTTAACTTGATATAGACTTTAGTGCAAATAAATAATATTTGGACTCAGTTTATATCAGTTTTAGTTTGATTTACCCTGAAGCGACTACTTCTTGTATACTGACTGCCTTTTGGTAGAATACATAATATTTACAAAATGTATATTATATAGCATATTTTCCCACTAGCTAAGATGATAATTGTGGATATAAACTGAGCAAATTTTTTGTGAATATTCCTATTTTGGCGAAAACTCCAACAGCTTAATCAATTTCTATTAAGTTTGAAATTTTTTAGTATTAAGTTATTCAGACAACTGCTATAACGGATTATGAAGTTCTTTTTTATTTTTAGGTAAATTTTTGATTTTTTGTGATAAACAAAAATTAATTAAAAAAAATTAAATTCTTGTTCATAAAATTTCTTATTATTTAAAAATTGAATGAATTTAAATTTAATTTTTCATTCACATTTGTTAATTTCAAAAATATTTTATCTTTTTATTGTTAAATTCAATAGTGCCCATATGCCTGTACTGGTGTTTGTCCTGGAGGTGTATGCTAAACATGCCTAGATGGTTACAATTTAAATTCAGGTAAGTGCATATTACATTGTAATCCAGGTTAATATCTAAACATTATTGCTTCTACAGAATAGTTTTGCTAATCTTGTTTCACGAATTGTGACAAGTGTTCTGATGGAACAACATGTGATAACTGCAAAAATGGATATGTTTATATGAATATTAATAGTACAAATTAATGTATTCAAAAGTGTTCATAGTCTAATTAATATTTAGATTCATAAGGTGTATGCTAAAACTGCATGTAAAGTTGTGATACATGCTCATAGGCTAATGTATGTGATACCTGTGCTGCTAACTATATTAAAACTTAGGCAAATACTTGTTAATGTTCAGGCTATTTAAGTGGTAATTAATGTCTACCATGCTATTCTTCTTGTTAAACTTGCAGTGATGGCTTAAAAACAAGTTGTTAATCATGTAAAAGTGGTTATTATCCTGTTTTAAATAGCCTTAACTAAGCTTAATTTGAGTGTGTTTAAGTTTGCCCAAACAATTACTAACTTTTAGATAGCAAATGCTAGTAATGCAATCTTACTAATTATAAGAGTTGCTTTAATTGTCCTAGTACATGCAGATCTTGCTCTTCTTCATAAAGTACAAATTGCATAGATTGCTTTGATGGTATGCAATTAGATGCTAACGGCAAATGCTTTTCCAATA